AGACCGGTAACTCTGTCCCAGGAGTTGCTGCTGCTAGTTGACTTTTTAGTTGGCCCTTTTATGAGCGACTAACTAATTAAGATAAGTGTGTCTGATTTTCATATTAATGGCATACAAACGAAACCATTGTGTGGGGCGTTCTTATCTTAAATGTTTGGGGGCCAAGCTGAAGCGTCAAATGTTGTGCTCCCTTTCGTTCCCCTTTCCACACCACCGGAATCCTTGTGCGTTTTCAGATTTTTCAGGAACAGAAACAGAAACAGGAACAGGAACAGGAGGAGCAATGTGAAAGGCCAGGCCGAGGAGGGGCACTGCACCGGACGTGGCTTACATGAGCATGTGTTTTTAAGCCTCGTTGGGCACAAAACAATTAATATTGTGCCCGCCCACAGCTAAGCACAAATCAGCCTCCTGTGAAATGTGAAACACAAAAGCGCGCGGTGGCAGCCAACGCAGCAACAACGGCAACCGGAAGCGGAAGCGCACAACTCTTTGCGCGAATTAATCACACAGCTACAACTACCACTACCACTACAGAAGCGGCAACAGCAATGAGAACAAGTCCAGGAACAGAAGCAAAATCAGCAGAGAGAACGACATGGACACGCATATAAAATTCGCCCCGTTGGTCCTTTAGCTTACATTCGCTTACATGGCGCACGAATAAAGGGCTACGGTGAAGCCCTTCCGCCAATATTAGTTTACCACTTGACCCAACTCACACACACAAGCAGAAACAATGGAAATTAGTCTAGATATAATTTTAGGAATTTTTACTCTCCCGTTTGGGCTTAAAATTAAACTTTAAAACGAGTTCGTTTTGGTAGAAAAACCAATTTAAAGCCATAAATATTATCTTGGCCACTTCATGAATCAATAAGAACATAATTATAATACGAAATGCGCCAAAATAAAATTTTGTGAAAATAAATGGAAAATTCATTTCCGTTTTCAATCCGCAACATTACCAAATTTTAATTTATTTTTCACTGAGCTTCTGTATCCAGTACAGAATTGCACTTGAAACTAAATATTGAAGTTATTGTAAAGATTGTATCTATATTTTTATTTCCTTTAAATAACCTGTTAGCATTTTTTCGACCCCACCCATTCATTATCATTTCTGAAACCTAATCAAATCTGGAAACGTTGCAATTCCCTTGAGAGGATCTTCACTGTGGCCCCCGGTTGGCTCGAGTGCGGTCACTAACTCCTCCATGGGCGCCGTCTCAGTTCTGGCAAACGACAGTGCAGGGAGCTAATTAAATATGCGTGTCTTGCCTCAATGCCCCGGACGCTCGGGGGATTGCGTGCCCGTTGGCTTCAACCGTTGCTCCTGCTCCTGGTACTCCTGCTCCTGCTCCAGATCCCGCTCTGACCCACCTTGGCCAGCTTTAATGTCTCCCCCCAGTTTATGGCGGGGTTACGCCCCCTTACGAGCGTATCTCTGTGTGTGCGCCTATTTCGGGGGCATATTTGCTAATCATTTTACGTGCCGTCTCCCCCCGGTAACCGTGTCCCCCCTCTGTACAGGGTTTATTGTTTTTTAAAACGTGGGCGTGGTCCGTCCATCCATCGGAGGAGGAGTAAGTTTAACGAGCGGCAGAAGGGACAACGGTCCTTTGTAATGCAAATTAAATAAACATGATTTTTATATGATTTCGGTGTAGCTTGTCGTGCGGTGCGAATGCATTGTCCTTGAGCCTGCCTGCCCCGCCTGCCCCGCCTGCCCCACCATTCGTGCCACAGTGGTGTTGGTGTCAATTTTATGAGCCGTCAGTCATTTCGCATTTCGCCAAACTCGGAGCAACGCCTTCGAGTGTAATTTAATTGAATAATTAAAATTTTTATTGCCGCCGTGTGTGTTTGCTGTATGTTTTGCTGTTTGTTGTGTTCGTGAGGGGCGTTGGGCGTGGGGCGTGTTGGAGGATATGCAAAGCGTGTCATTTTAATTTACGACCATGACGTTCAGCACAGCCAGATAATAAACACGCTCGCAATTAAGTATACGCCGGGGTGTACTCCTGCACATCCATCCAAAGTCATCTCAACACGCAAACCTCAAAGTTCGAAAAGAAACTGAAATCTCTGGGACTTATTTCGAAAAAGAAAAACAGGTCAATATTGGGAAAATAATAGTTTAATAAAGATGGATACATCGAGATGGGGAAGTTAATGTTTCGGTTAGTTGTTTTATTATGTTTAAATTCAGGGAAATTTATGATAAGTAGCTTTAACGTCAAAGAATATTAATAGTTCTGTCAAAAAATACTTATCTAAGATGAATGTTTAATACAACAAATGACTTACATGCCTTAATAATAAAAGAAATTGCTCAGCATTGGACGAAATAAACCGAATTTGAACGCGTAATTAAATGTATTATTAAAATCATCTTTCGCATTTAAATTAATTTATTTATCTTTAGTCGAGAAATTGTCCTGTAAATTGTGTAGAGTTATGGTTTTGTGAGTGCCAAATTCTTGCATTTCATTTCATTGAAACTATCCAATTGCACTAACCCAACAACAACATTCCATCTATTATTTCCCGGTTGACATGGCCAGGCCTGTGGTATCGAAAATGGGCCAGCTGATAGAATGTAAGTGTGTGCTTAGTTTTGTTGCATCTTGTATTTAGGCACACGAATTCCTATAACCTTTGTTGAGGGCCCCCCTCCTCCCACCTAACCCGTGCTCCACATGCAACACACACACACACACACACACTCAGTTTCAATAAACAACAATAAAATTGTGCATAAATACAATGCAAATATGAGCCACGTTGCACAAGGATATTCGACCGACAGGCGTATCCGCTTTTGCACCCCGAAAATGGCATTTCAAATGCATATTTTGCTTTTCATATTTTGTTTTGTTCACAAATAACAAAATAAAAAAAAAACGAATGAAAATACGGGCTTGCAAAATATTACACAACATTTGAAAGAGTTTTAAACCCGACTCAGCACAGCACAAAAATGCGAAACAGTTTTATTTATTTTATAGCCCGCTCAGCACCGTTTGCATTCGCATCCGTGTATCTGAACTCGAATACCCGTGTACTGCATATGTATCTGCATCCGTATCTGTATCTCTGAATATGGATCTACGCCTGCATCTGTGTTCCGTCTGTGTCATTTGTTTGAGCTCTGGCTTGGCCCAAAAAACAAAAAACGAAACGAGTGAAGAAAAACACAAATGGAAAGCGAAAATATAGTATTTAAAAAGCGATTTCATGTTGTTTATATTTGTGCGAACTGAAAGCTATCGATGATTGGTTCGGCCAGTCCTTTAGTCCCTTAGAGAGCGGATTTAAATTTGGGCTTTGGCGCAACTTGGCGGCATGGGACGGGAGACAGAGTTCCAGGTAATCGCGTTGGCCCCCAACTAAGTTACATCATTTTTGCATTTGCGGGCAGCGAGCGAGAGAAATGGAATCATGTAATTGTAATTGAAATGAAGTAAGCGTGAATTTCGCTTAAAATAAAAAAGAAAATAAAAGAAAATACCATCCAGCAGCAGCATGAAAAGTGACTGCCAGGGCAGTCGTGGCAGCGATAAGAGAGCCCCAGCTCCGAGCTCTGTTTGTTTCCTTTCAAATCAGTACACTTCCTTTCGGCCTGGCCTTTCCACGCCGCTCCACAGAAAGTGCACGGGAGGCCAAGGAAAATAAATGAAAATCACTTGAAAATACTAACGAGCTGTTACGCTTGGCAAGAAAAATATAATCAGCAGCATCATGTCTGCAGGTGCACTTAAAAGGCGTTCACTTTTACCCCGCCACGCCCCATGGCTGGCTAGAGAGAGTCCAAAAACTAAGCTAAAATACAGGGCACGCTAAGTAAATCCTAGGGTTTTTCTTTTATTACTATATCAAATGAATTATTATATATATTTGAAGTCCGCCAGCTCAACCTTTTTCATTAACCTGTTAAGTGGAGCAGGTGCAATACCAGGAAGAATTTTACTAGCTCACTGAAATAAATGAAGAGTATATTATTTAAATCTAAATAAATAAGAATAATATTCTGTTTTACCAAGTACAATAAGGTAGTAACTTTATAGACAGTTCTCTTTTAAGAGTGTTTCCTGTAGGATATATAAAAAAGCCAGAAAACGGAACAATGGGCTACAAAAAAATCAAAGTTGTTGAAACAATTAAAACTAACCTTTTTGGTAAAAAGGTGAAGGCGAACCGAAACACAATGGCAAATGGAAATGTTTAATGTTGTAACCATGCCCAAAAGAAATGGAATCACAGCAATCAGCTTTTGTCCAGTCTTTCGCCCAGAAAAAGCGGTTCAACCACTTTGCAGCCGTCCAACTGCCAGCTTGAACTGAAAATCCACACAAATCCACTCAAATCCACTCAAATCCACTGCACTCGACTGAAGGAGTGCAGGTTTTGTGCGCCGCTCGTGAAGGCCGCCGTGGATCGTGATCGTGGCCAGATTATAATGAAGCTGCACTGCGACCGCAATGGAGGCGCGTGCCAAACAGGCGGACTCTAATTCCTTGTCGTTGGTTGTCATGCAAAAATGACTTTGAACTTTATTGTTTTCCAAGTGTTGTTTGGCCGAGGAGCCGGTTTCCATGATTTGTTATTACTTGTACATTTTCTTTTTTTTGGTGTGCGATTTGAATTGATCGCGTAACTTAATTCATAAATGCGGCAAGAGAGCGAGAGAAATGGCAAATGGTAGGAGACAGGCTGGCAGCAGGTCAACAAATGGCAAACACTCACTTTTGGCCGACCGCCTTCTATCAACACAGCTGAAGCTGGAGCTGAGTCTGGAGCTGTGGCTGTTGCTGGAAGTTGAAGTTGAAGCTGCAAATTGTGTAAGAGGAAAAATACTTGGATCTGTCCTAGTCGGTGGCATATAAAAACGCTGTCCCAGGCACAATTCGGCCACATTCCCATTGCAGCAGTCGGGCCGCAGTAGTCAAGGTCTGAATCCCATCCCAGCCAGAGTTCGAAGTCAGCCACCAAGTTCAATGGCGAGCGTTAATTTGGTGAGTTTACCGGGAGGATATTAAAAGTGCATTATGCAAAAGGGCTTGACATTCAGAATATTTCTATACCCATTACTCATTGGATACTAGAGTATGATGTATTAACGACAGAGAGAAATTTCAAGCTCTAAAAGCTTTAAATTTATTTCAAAAGCAAAGAAATATCCTGATGCACAAGAATTGACTATCAGTCTCAAGTAAAGTAGTGATTCCTATAAATAATAGGGTATCTCAAGATCCTTTGCATTCAATTTCCCTTGAAGGACTCCAGTGTTTTGCATTTTAAATCACTTTGCATTATGCCTTGCATTATCCCTTGCAGCAGATGCCGCTCATTGCAGCCGCCACCACCATTCTGACCATTGTCAGTGGCAGTGCATCAACCTCAGCAGAGACGGCCAAGAATCCGCCTCTATCGTATCACAATGTGGGGTCTTTGTTCGGTGGAAATCGATGGCTGCCTATGGATCAGGCACATCAGCATCATCATCCGAATCATAGGTACGGCATTGCGGGTGAACGGCGTGCCTATAGCAGAAGCCATTCCGTCCAAGGATTATCCACGGTGCTCAATGGCCTCACAAATCTCTCGGGCCTGGGTCACATTAGTAATGGGTACGGCTCCGTGGCACCCACCCACACGGAGGCCCTGGCCCTTGGGTCCACAAAGCAGGAGATTCCTATTTACGAGGAGAACAATGAAGAAGCTGCCGTGGCGGCCGTTGCAGCAGCTGGAGCCCATGATTTTGGATCGGGAAGTGGACAAGCTGGTGGTGGCCTGGAGGACCATCAGCAGCATTCGCCGATTTACAATTATCCCGATGGAGGAGGAGGAGGAGGAGGAGGATTCCAGCCAGCTTACGGTGGAGCAACAGCCTCTGCGTCTGGTATTGACCAGGGCTACGGATCCTGGTCAGCATCATCGGGTCCGGAGGAGCAGGCGGAACAGCAGGCACCGCATCCTTATGCATACGATAAAATCTCAATGGGGAATTTCCTGCCAACGTATGACCACGGTGCTGCATACAATGACCAGCAGGCGCAACTCTACCACCATCAGCAGCAGTCGCAACTCCAGCAGCAACAGGAGCAGCTCTTCCACCAGCACCAACAGCAGCAGCAGCAACAGCTCCAGCAGGAGCAAGAGCATCACCCATCCTCCTCCTCCTCCTCATACTTTGGCCAACACGACCACTCTCCGTCTGGTTCCGGTTCGGCATCGGCCTCATCCGCCTCGAGCGGATCTGGCGGTGACGATTACGAAGAGCATCCCGATGCTGGCCAGGAGCAGAGCTCCAACTACTTGTCCGAGGCAAGTGGTCATGGCCAGGCCCACACCCATCACTCGCATCACGTGGACATTATCAACTATGTGCCGGTGAAGCATGTGAAGAAGCAACATGTCCCGGTGGAGAAAGAGGTGAAGATTCCCGTCTCCCATGCGGTGATCATACCCGTTCGTAAGCCTGTTCCCATCCACATACCGATCACCAAGAACATTCAGGTGGCCGTGGAAAAGGAACTAAAGGTGCCCGTGGAGCGGCTAGTGCCTGTGCCCGTGGAGAAACATATTCCGGTGCCGGTAGAGAAGCACGTGCCGTATCATGTGGTCAAGTATGTGCCCATAAAAGTGCCCAAACCGTTTCCCGTAAAGGTGCCCGTCTTCAAGACGGTGCTGCACAAGGTCAAGAGTTGGTGGTAGGAAGCAAGTAAGAATATATACACACACATATTCATAGCCGTATATTTCGGCCTTAACTTTCTCAGCATTCCTCATTTGCATTTGCAGCACACAAGTATTTCGTTATAATTATAAGCACATTACGCATACGCCCCATATGTCAAGCCAAAGCGAACATCGTTATGCAGTTTTGCACACATTTCGTATTCCATTTTTAATGCCGAGTTTTAAAATTCATTTAATCCCCGTGATGTACAACATTTTTGTGACTCATTTAACATTACAACGATTTGCATTAAAATACAAACACGAACGGAAACCGAACCAGAAACAGAAACAGAATCCCAAAAGAGGCAGACACACTCACACACGTTGCAAGACCGAGGTTTTTAGCAGCGATTTCACGGTGCATTTGTCACGGACATAACCCCTTTCCCGTGCCCCAATTTTCCCCTCCCCAGTCTACTCTCATTTATTTAATTTCACTTTAAGCGCACACAATGAAATTTGTGTTTAATGAAATGAAATTCATCTTCACAAAAGGCTCGGCAACGCAACGCAACGCGCTCCACCGTTGTTCTCAGGCTGCCAAATGCCATTTCCAGACCATTACGTCGCCAGTTCGGCCCTGCCAGTGGGCTGCACTGCACCATTACCCGGAGCAGTTTCCCGAGATCCCTCGAGTCGCCGGGCCTAATTAAATTAAGTGCACACCTTTGTTGTCCCGCTACTACGCGCTGGCATGCCGCCCCATGTTGTTCGTGGCATTCCGGCCTTCCTTCGCCATCACTTTTGCAGTTCTCTTTCCTTTTGATTTGCAGTCCGATTGAATTGGCCGAGGGATTCCCCTTTTCCAGAACCATTTTTCTCACTTTCCTCAACCTCAAATAAAAAAATGGGAAGGGGGGAAAAAAGTGCCTTGAAAGTATGCTGCATCAGATTTGTGTTCAGCTTTTAAAATGTACACTGGGCAGAGGAAGTGACACTACATGCGGCAAGGGTAACATATCGTTTTCAGTAAATTTTCTTGCCAGCAATCCTTTTTCCCAGCACGCACAGCCTCTTTCCACTGCGAGCATACTTTTACACACTAAAAAAATAAAGTGTAAAGTTAAAATTAGTCTTTTGATGGGTAGTTTAAGTTAAATTTAAGAATGAATTTTGTACTCTGTTTTTGTAAAGTGTTTTAAAAAGTAAAAATAAAATTGGGAGACTGTAAATCTCTCATAAAATGTATTTATACCTTTGACTTTTTCTATATTGTAAACGGGTTTTAATTTAATATGTTTCTCAGTGACTGAAACTTTGTTAAGCAACTTAACAAATACTTTCAATATTTTCAATTTCGCTAAGGGGATTTTTAATTACTTTTTGTCAAGCTTGTTTGTAGAATATTCTGCCTTATTACATCTATTTTCTTTTTTGTTATTTAAAGTTATATCTTTAGTTTATTTATCAATCGATGACTACTTTTTTTGTGTGTCTTCCTGCTGGAATGTGTATCCTTTGTCCTGTGTGTGTGTCACTCGACTGTTTGCCGTTCGCCGCGGATGCGGTTCCTCGGTCCTCACTTGTCAGTCACCCGGCGGCCGTCTGTGACTTTTTCGCGGGCCGCCTCCTGCCGCAGGACCCTGAGTCCTTCAACCCGTTTTGCCACTTGCGAGCTGCCGCTACTCTTGCTCCATTTACTGTGTATTTTTGATGTCTAAATTGCATTTTATTATGTCGCTCGTTCGGTTGGAAGGCAACAAAAAAAAAAAAGAGAAAAGGAGGAGCACCTTCTATCCTTGCCACATATGTTCGAGGGGAACGTTCGTCGCCGTGGCTCTTCGGTCTTCGGCCGTCACATGTCGTTGTTGCTGGCTTTTTTGTTGTTGCGGTTGTAAATTTTATTTATCATTTAACATTTTTTACGCTCTTTATGCCCCACCAGGAAGAGGAAGCCGCCCCACCCAGCGACACACTTTAAGTGACTTTTGAAGTACTTTATTTTGCATACAAAATATTTGCGTTGCCTTGCCTTGCCGTCATGTGCATGCGTGCGTATACGTAATATTGCTGGAAAACTCACTGTGTGTAAGTTGGACTGGCTTCCGTTTTCATTCTTTGTTGATGATTATGAGGCTGCTGTTCTCTTTATTATTATTTTTTTACACACTTTTTATGTTAAATTAAACATTTAAAATGTTATTATGATTTTTTAGAAGTGTCATTCTAACCGCAAATACTGTTTTCACTTTGCGAGCATAAAAAGGTATTTGGTATTTAATTAACTTTGCAGTTTTCTCGCCTCTTCAATGGCCGGAACCATCCTATGCATATGCATTATTAGTTTCCGCAGAGTTTGCCTTGTGGTCGACACACACAAAATTAATTAATTGAAATTAGAGCCAGAAAGAGAATGCAAATGGCAGTGGGTCTGCGCACATCCAATGGACATTGGGACCGAAATGTGAATATGAGAATATGTTTATTTGTCGTCGTTGGCTTTTGTGTGCAGCTGACAGAAAACCATTGGTCGGGATAATTATATTGGCTGCACATAAAATCTGTATTTCCAATTTGCAGCATTTATATGCACAAATGTTTAATTAATTGAATTTTGATCGGTATCTCTGCTGACGCCAGTTAAACAGTCTAAAAATATTATAGACATTACTTGGATGGGCGCAAACTTTGGGTATATGTTAGATATGGCCTCACTCATACACCCCAACTTTTTGGGTAGCAGTAAACAAAACAGTTGGTTTTAATAACGGCGAAGTGCATGTGTGCCATGTGGCTAAAACAGAGAGAAAGAGAGAGGGGGGTCTGCCACTATGTTTGCACTTTTATTAAAAAACTTTTGCATAATGAAAGTTTGGAGCTCGCTCTCCAAATTGCAGACGCAATATACAACTCCCGTAAAGTTCGGTTCGGTTTAGCTATTTATATAAATATTTTCGCACAACTTTTGGCCAAAAATTATTTTTTGAAGTGTTTACGATACACAACTCCTTTGGCTTTTGTCTCTTGCAAAACACACACTCCCTCCTTGAATGGCATTCATATCATTTGGGGAACTTTTTATTGATTGCTCTCTTGCTTTGTGAGTTGCACTTAAAGAAATAAATCAATTGAGTAACGTATTATATACAAAATTATATATTCTTGTATATTATATTCAATTAACCGGATTTTAATCATTAAATAAGATTCATTATGTTACTTTCTATAACTATTTGAATCCCTGGACATATATTTCTTACTGTGCACACTCCCACACTGGTTTTCTTGTCCCATTTAGGTGTTGGGAGTATTTGCTTGGGTGTGCGGACACAGGCAGTAACAACAATGATGGCTATATAATGGGAATACGAATTTTTATTGTGGCCACAATGACTGGCCGGGTCTTGGCTGTCTGCCTGGAATTCTGGCCTGAGCTCTGGCGGTGGCCCAGAGTGGTGTGATATTAGGAGCACTAAGGAGGCCCGCGATGAGGACTCTCTCTAAAAGCAATGATACTTTTATCCCCCATGTCATTGCCACGTAAGACCGCCACTCAGCGCGATGGCTGCTGCTGGCTCAGTCGCATCCTCAGGCCGCCGCTGATGGTGGCTGATGGCTGCTGATGGGCGCTCACATTGTCGCCGTCTTTGGGTGTGGATTTTCGGGATATGCGGCGCTACATGTTATGAATTTTTTAGGGTCCTCTGGCAGGCAGCGAATGGCGGCAGCAGGCGGGGGCGGGCAGACAATAATAAAAGCCTCTGGCACGTGCACAGTCGCAATACCCGTGCGCCGAGATTATGTCTGCGTTTTGCTCAAATGATTTACACATCGTCTGCGAGTCGTCCTTGCCTTTTGCCATCTTTTTTGGGTCCACATTGGGTTCGCTCCTGTCCGCAATATGTCCTGGCGGAGATCTGAGCCCGTTAACGGTATACCAATTACCAATTTGCCATTGCTTCTCGCGGAATTTTCGAATCTGCGTCCACGTCCTGGTCCAGGTTCAGGTTGGGAGCTCAAGCACGAGCCCACCGGAAATTGGCTGACATTGAATGACGGCATTAGCGCGGCACTGGCTTATGGCAATAGCTCTTAAAGCTGGCCGCCGAGATGTAAATATTATTTGCCATACAGCCCGTTAATGCGGGTTTAAAATATCATGGGATATAAAGCCTCGAATGAGATTAACTAAACGGAAAATAAAAGCCTGATGCGAGGATGGATTTCCATTTGAAACCTGAAAAAACTTGTAGTTGAATTTAAGAATGTGATGTATATACTTTTCTTGAGCGAAGAATATATTAAAGTTGATGTGCTTTGATGGCAGGTATTGATTACCGTACCTTAAGGCAGGTGCTAAACTGGAAATAACAGACGTACATATTTTGTATATCTGCAATCAAGTTGAACTCTGTATTGCGTTAAGTTTACCATGTTTTGCAGTTGCATATTACACTGAGATACGAACGACGGGCAGTTGAAAGTCCTTCTGAAACAAACTCGTATGTGCAGACAGGCATTTGTTTCGCCAGAATGACTGCGGAGGGCGTTGCGCAAACGGAAGTGCAGAAGCGTATCTATAAGATACATACCGCCACATACAGACTTTATGTAGTTTTTGCCTTGCTGTTGGCTTTTATGGCACTCAAAAACGGGTGTCTGCGTGCGGCAAAAGGTGGTGCCCCCCCAGTGTCTTAGAGAATGTTCTCTCGGGTCAGGTGCATCGTTTGTTGCCACTCCAGTTGCTCTTGTTGCAGTTGCAACTTGTGCCGGCTGGCTTTCGACCCAGTCAGGCGTGGCAAATTGCAAACTAATTTATTAAAAACGGATATATGAGCAGAATTTATATATATTGTGCCCGGGGTTCAGCTCATTGCGCTGCAATATTGCCAGAGTTCATAATTCCTGCCCTGCCTGGATGCCTCTCTGCCTCTCTGGCTGGCGGGCGGTAAATAATGTGCTGTCAGCATGTCAACGGCTTCGCCAAGCTCAGCTCCCTTCCCCTTTGGGCTTAAACACTCTGTTTTGTGCCCATTTGTTTATTGTTCACTGTGCAGAGAGAGAGAGAGAGACTTTTTGCTGTTGATTTTAAACATTTTTGCTCATTATGTGTTTGTCTCTGCAATGAAACGGTAGTGGTAGCATTACCAACTCAGCTCAACGACTGACGACTACTGACTGGTCACAGTTTGAATTTGAAATATGATCCCGGAGCTGGAGATATTTGCTTTTCAGCCATTTAGTTTCATTTCTCAACTGACTGCTGTCATCTGCAGCTGGGGGCTGAATCTGTTGCTCTACACTGGAAGCAAAGTGGTATAAATCAGTATAAATCAGGAATTTCCCAGTGAATTTTCTTATTTTTAGGCTGCAGTATTTTCGCTCCATGTGCCTGTAGCTAAAGTTGCATCTGCATCTACAGCTTTGCCCTTCCTAACGCCGAGATGACAATTCTCTGGGCAAACTGATGGTAATCATATCTCTGCATTTTCCAGCATAAGTTGTCAATCAAAGCGAAAGCCGCTATCTCCCTCCCCTCGCCAGGTAACTGAAAAGCTATTCAACTGGGCCAAAATAGATTGCAATCTGATATTCGAGTAGACGTCAGTGTGCTTCAATTACGGGCATCTCAGAGCCGAAGTCGGACACATGCTAAAAGCCTTGCCGTAGCGTTTTGTTCGTTCTTTCGTTCGTTAATTTACCTGGCCTGGCCAGATGAGCTTCAAGAATAATGTGGCATGAAAAATTCCAACGACCGAAAGTTGCAGCACTTAATTGCCAGAGGGGGCACTCTCCCTCAAAAAAGGGCCAAGTTGTGAAATATTGATACTCGTACTTATGCATAAAGGCCGGGCCATCCCAGCACTCCATTGCCACGTATTGAGACCGATAAAACCAGCTCGTTTCGAGGGTCTCTCAGCTCATTTTAAGCGCACTTTAATGGCAATTATACGCCTGAGTAGCTGTTTGTGTTCACAAACTTTTGCCTCGAGGGCAAGGGTAAAAGTGGAGGAGTAAGGGTGCAGGGTAAAGCTGTGGGTGAGTAAAAAGCGTCAACAGCCAGACACACTGGCTGACTGGCAGGCAAGCCGGCAAAGCAAAACAAACAAGCCACATACTCGGATACTGAGATGCTCGGTTGCTGGGATACTGGGATACTCAGATACTCAGATACTCTCGTACTTACAACACACCAGCCGATCCTGCAGGATGTTGTGACTCGACATAAATCCGTTGGCGTGTGGCTGTGTGTGAGCTTATAAAATACTTGCAAACATTTTGCCTGTGCACGCACCAGATTATTAAAGTTCTGTGTAAATAGTTTATGGTAATCATAAAAGATATACCAAGCATTTCTACTTTACGAGTAGGGCCAAGAATAAGGTGTCCTTTCCCCATTCTCCACCCATCAAGGGGCAAACATGAAATATCACTCATACGCCCGGGTGTCTGTCAAGTCTTTTGTATCTATGTACTTACACAAAATTGTGACCAAAGTGCGTTGGGCCATCAACGCATAACTTTGCCATTCCGCAATTAAAAGAATCAGAAAAGGCGCGAGTCGCGCATCAAAAATAACAACTTGCCACCTGAGTCGCAAATTTTTATGCTGCACATCAATTTTACAGGAAACCAAAATGGCAGCAAAACTCCTCTCTGCATAACTTTGGGCAAAAAGGGGCTACCCGAAAAAGGGTTAAAACTTTGTAGCTTTCGCAGCTAACTGATGGCTGTTTGGCTGTCATTTTTCACAGGACTCCGCACGGCGTCCCCCTTTGCCTTTCTGACCATTAAATACCCGTCCATTTTTTGTTGCTATTTGCGCTTTTGGCTTCATTTTTGGCCGACCAGCAATTATCAAAGTTTGAGCCAAAAGTGCTGATTAATTTTTAATGTTTATCTTTGTCGCCGTGCTTTCCTTGGCTACCTGCCGGAAATTGCACAGTCATTTCGGGAATTATAAAGTCATTTTTGCGCATTCTTGGAGTCGGATTTTTGTAATGGATGAATAGGATTGAAACCAGGTGGCGATTTAAGAGCTTTGGCTTTTTACGATTTTAACATCTTTTTCCCTTTTTCCTCAAATCTATGAGTAATAATATATTTTAAATATATTTTCTAATATTAAATACCTTTTCATATAGAATATTTTTAACCTGAAAGGGATAAATGTAAGCAGTTCCTCATTTGTTACTATTTCATGACCTGGCACAAAACGTATTCCGCTCGGGGGGTCAGTGTCAGTGGCAGGGCCATACAGTCGGAATAGGTCAAAGGGGCACACAGTTGGGAGTCTCATCAGCAGATTCGCGGTCAGCATTGTGACCATAGTCATGTTCATTGCGTTTTGTGGCTTCCTTCATTGGCCGGAGCGTGCGCGCGTTACGGGGCTGCGTGGATTTGGGCCGGATTTGAACTATCGCCGCAGCGGTGGCCAGTGGTCAGAGGAGCAAAATTCCTAACGAAGCGGTTAATGTGGGCATTGCAATTATGAATTTATGCACATTTATCCGCAGCAAGCGTATGTGCCAGTGAGTGTATGCGATTGCAGACAAGCGTTGATTATTATATTTGATTTTTAGTCAGTTTCCGGCACTTTGTGGTCTACATAAATGCTAATAATGTGGTTAGAAATGAATTCGATTCATAGGTACAGAATATTGATTATTGATTTCAGCCTAGTTCGCTCAAAATATTATCAACTATGATAGATCACTTTCGGAGTTCCTTTTCTTAAGCAACCTTTAAGCTTTTTGATTTCCCCTCCCCTATGACTTAAATTCTTGTATAGCTTTTGACATAACATAAAGTGTGTGTGGTATAAAGTTGATCCTTTCACCCCCTCCGCGAATGGCTCCCACGTCAATTAGTGTTAATTTCATTAGCCGGCAATAACTTGCAGCACTTTCCACAAGAAACTACAAGCCCGACTCGAATTTACTCGACCCTTGCCACTCTCTCATCGTTGCTGCAACTGGTCCGCGGAACTTTACTTTTTGGCTAATTTTGTTGCTGTTGTTCGTTAACGCCCCGCCGAAGTTGAACGTCGCGTTTATTTGTGCGTCATTGTTGCTCCTTCTGCTGCCGCCGTTAAAAGTTGTTCCTGTTGTTGCTGTTGCTGCTGCTGCTGTTGTTGCTGCTGTTGCTGTTGCTGCTGTTGCTGTTGTTGCTACTGCTTGCTGCCGGAGTTACATTTGGCAATTAGCCGCTGAATTTTCTTGCACTTTCGCTACTTTTGCATTGGTGGCATTTTGCTGCACTCCATCCTCTCGCACTTCAATACATATTTATTAGCCGCATTTGTTGGATTTTAGCTCAATTAAAAAGTTTTACTCGGCTACTTTTCTTCATTTGGGACCTGCCTTCTGACTCCGACCTCAACTTCGACTCGGGACATCTTGTTTTGTTTTGGCTTGAAGCTGGGAATTGGGTGCTGGAAGCTGGGAGCTGTGTGGTGGTCACTGGAAGCTGGAAGCTGGGATTTTGGGAGCTAGGAAGCTGCACTGCAGTGGCTGTCTGTTCCTTTTCTTTGAGCAACAGCACTAATTGCAATTACTTTGCCTGGCTGCCCAAGGGTCAGCAGTCAAAAAAAATGGTGACCAGTTAAAGTTTTAAATACACTGACAGGGAGGACGCCATGAGGGGTAAAAAATATATATCATATGACTATTTATAAAATTCTTGAACCCAGAAGTTGACTTCCATAGAATGTTTTTAAATATTTCTTAAAGACTGAGGTGAGCTAAGTTTCTTTTATTTTCTGAAAATAGAAGTTCAGGATTTCAGTTTTTATTTACTTTATTGCCATTATTTAAACACATTTACAGAGTGAAAACTACATTCTTAATTTTTAATCAAAAAAAAAAACCAAATAAATATTTATACACAGTTTCCAATTAAAGAAACCATCTTTACCCTTTAAAAGTGTATGAAAAAAGGATTAAAAATGTATTATTTACGACTCGACAGCATATGCATACGTATTAGAATTTTAAAAGGGAACTCCTAACCTTTTCTCAGCCAAGCAAATGATTGCCGGTGGCACTCCAACCCGGTGCCACATAGTGGGTTCGCTGCTTGTGCACCACCGTCCGCACCACGGGCACTTTGACCGGATACGGATAGTAGACTGGCGTGGCCACCGGCTTCTCCACTCGGTAGGGCACTCTTCGCTCCACCACAAACGGAATGGGACGCTCCACGGGAACTGGCTTAACCCGCTCGATCGGTATCTTTACCTCTTGCAGCTGCGGAATGGCTACGGTTTTAGCCACGGGTATCTTGATGGGCATTGGCTTGGGAATGGCTGCGATGACGGTTCGAGGCACCTGCACCTGGACCGATTGTTTGTAGGGAACATGTTGCTTTTGGTAGTGAGTGACTGGTACATTCTTGGTCACTTCAATGTGCTTGGAGAGCGGCAATCCGGCCACGGCCTTACTACTCGCCGGAGTGTGACGAACACTGGTTGTTATGGCGGGAAGATCGGCCACCCGAGAGTCTGTGTGGGAGTATAGCAATTGCTGATCCTGAGCCAAACCCAAACGCTGTTGCTGCCGTTGATCTTGGATATATCCTAAAGGTTTCTGCAATACATGTTGCTGGTAGGGCAGTGGCTGTTGCTTTTGCTGCTGTTGCTGTTGCTTTTGCTGCTGCTGCTGTTGCTGCTGCCATTGCTGATGATTATGTTGCTGCTGCTGCCTCCCTTCCAGTCTCTGTTCCTGGGGCTCGTGTCGCCCTGCCAGTTGCTGGTTGTGAGTGGATAACGATTCCTCCCGCTGTTCCCGCTTAACCGGGTTTGCCAATGTTTGCAGCTCTTTGTGGCGCGCATAGACACCGGAATTATCCAGTTCCTCCTCCGTTCGATGGTCCTGGTTCCGGTAATTGGAAATTTGCTCGAAATGGTAATGATTGGGAGGCGTCGGCAACGACACCCGCGGCCGATATGCATAGCCTTCGTAGGTCTCCTCGTAGCCCGCGGAATTTGGCTCATAATTTGCCGCATTAATGACAAAATCGATATTGGCCGATGGGTCGCGTCGTGGCTCCTCATCCTCGCCAGCAAACTGAGAGTGGGAAGACGAGTGCGAGTGCAGTTGGTTGGTGTAGTAGAAGGGCACAAAGCCATTGGCGGTGGCGGGATATGGTGATGATGATACTGGATGTGGATGTGAGTCCGTATTCGGATGGTGGTGTGCGGCCAGGAGCTTGTGAGCATAATTTCCATATGTTGCCAAGTCATCGGTCGGTGCAGTGTCAGCGGGGTCATAATAATTTCGCGTATATCCCGTTAATCCCGGCAACGATTCCACACCCGCTTCATGGTAATGGTGTTTGCCCTGCTCCAGTGACAGCAGCGGGATCTCTGCCAGAGACAATGGCAGTGGGGCATCGATGGCATCTACTGCCCCCATTGTGAGGACCAACGAGAGCAACATTAATGCATAGATCATTAATGAACTGTTGGCTGGCGGGCCGCTGCCTTGGTCAGTATACGGCAACCTCATATCTGCGGCTACGAGTTGCTCCTATTTCCAATCCTGGCACAGTGCTAATCCTGGAGCGCAGTCAGCTGGCGTGGGTGTTGGTGGTCTGCTTTGAAATGCAAATTTTTGCCTCTTTCGTTGGTGTTTTTATAACGCTGAATGGGACCACTAACTGAAATTGGATATAGGCGTGTCGGCACTTCAAGTTCATTGGCTTGGCTCCGGATTGTGTAAGTGGAGGCCATCACTTTCACTTGGCGGCCCAGCGGTCCAGATTGTCCCTTTCAGATGCAAGTGAGGCGATCCAGTGTCCACAGTTCACCATATGAAATCCACAGTCACCGCAATTGTAAAGCCATCATGAACAACGACCTCTGGGACAGTGGTTCCAGAGTGGGGAGAGTTTACTATAACATCTGAAAAAATTGATAAAATAATGGTACAAGTCAAGAGTTTCAATGGGTTTAAAGATCATTAAATATATTAAAATATATAGTTACATATTTTGTTTACATATTTGTATTGTAAATCATTACAGTGGAATAATTTGTACATAAATCTGAAGTAAATTAGTATCTTTTTACCATTTCTTTATCTTTTTTCAAGTTTGCTTGAAACTCTTCTAGGTTAATTAGCTTTTCACTCATTTTCCACTTGCTTTCTAGTCAGTGTTTTCCTCACCTGATAGTTGGCAGCCGCATCCGATTTCACACTGTGGAAGCCTGCGGTCAATGTCGCGGCCATTTCGATGTTTGATTGCACAAATGGTGACGCTCGGTGACGTGCGTTTCATGTGTTTGCGGTGAAGCAATCGTCTTCTGCCAAGTGCAATTGCCGGGGGTAACGTGGCCATATGAGACCCAGTTCAGATCTCCGATTGCTGCACTTTCAGTTTTCAATTGGATGCAGTCGACGACATTTTGGTATCGATGTTCTTGCATAATTTATGAACCACGCCCTCCATACATTGAAACTGACACTTTGCAGCAGAAACGATTCTCTATTAGAGGGAAAATGCTTTTATGAGAGCATATTTTATGAGAAAGTTCAAGAAACTCTTGGAATTATTTGATTCTATTATGATATTTCTTGAGTAAAAGAATAAACTTAAGTATAGAACACATATAAACCAGTTCAAATGGGGATAAATGAATCCAAACCAATAACCTTAAGATACTCATTTAAAAACAAAGGTGGCACTTATATTGTTTGACTTTAATATGTCTCAAAATCTTATCATTGTGTATTAATTATGAAATGATAATGACCTATAGGAACTTTCTCTCTGTGCATCTATTGAAACTGGGAAATCAAACAGTTCCTCACCCGCTGTGGAGTGTGGAGATAAAGTGAGTTCTTCTCGTTGCTGGGCGAGCTTCTTTGGATCATTCATCATTCTGCTCTGCATTTAAGTTTGAAAAGTTCACCAGGTTTTTGGCATCGCCCCCGTAGACCGCCCATCACCACACTTTCGGCACAAAGTATTTGCACAATTGCTGCTCGAGTTGCGCCCGAAATGACAGCGCAAAGTACACGTAAAGTGTATTTTCACATTGAATGAGGTTAAGCTTCGTTAAATTTTGCGCAGCGTTTCTGTATAGTTACACCCCACCGTTTTTCCAACCTTCCCTTCCCCCGTGGTAACCACTTTTCACCATAGAAGTGTGTGTGCGTCGTGTCGTGGTTACTTGTTGGATGCATTTTTTCTCTCGCCCCTTTTTCATTACTTCAAATGCTTTCAAGTCTCGTGAAGCATATTTTAGCAAAGTTCCCATAGAAAAGAAGCCAGCCAGCTAGCCGGGCCAGCTTAATATGGCCCGAATGATGGTGGTGCTGGGGATGCTGGAGGTGCCCGGGGGTGGTCAGAAAATAAACAAAATGGAATTGAAAAAAAAAAATGGGGAAAAAATCTACGAAACGCTGGCAAAGTTAAACGCTTGCATACACATACTTATTAAAGTTCAAAGTTTCTTTTTATTTTTGCGTTCTGCATAAAATCCATCATAAAATTAACAGGCGAAGCAGGAGGAGCGTTTGCTGTGACACTGAAACTTCATTAAGTCACGTTAAAACGTTAAAATGTGGGCAACGGTCGAAGGAAAAGGCCAAGTCAACGGTTCCCGGCCAGAAACAGAAGCCATGAGCCTTGAGCCAGGCAAGGCATCTAGCAGCAAATAGCCAAGAAATTCCAGCTATGCCATAGTTGGCAACGTTGCCGGCCTTTGTTTGGCCTTTTACTGGAGAAGGTTTTTTCCGGCTGCTGCTGCTGGGGGCTGTGGATCGAAGGGGAGGCCAGTCAGCGTTGCATGCGAATTTAATCAAGTCATGCAATAGAATTTACGGTTCCATTGCTGGTCCACAGATTTGGCCCAAACTTGGCCTTGGCTATATAGTTGAGAGGGCCTAATGCCAACTGTCTCCAGCGCTGCCACCCCTCAAGGCACTGCCTTTATTCCTGGAAATGTGCGCTGTTTTACTTGGGTTTTTCTTCAATATTTGCTTTAAAGCAATTTTGCGGTCCTAGGGCCGCGGTTCAAAAAGTTTTCTTTGCAGACATTGCAGAAGCACATTGGCAAGAATTTTTTGGAACCTGATTAGATATCTGAATAAAAGATGTTTCACTTAATAATATTGGAATAATAAAGCGAAATTTAATACATATGGATATCACTGCAAGTTCTTAATGCTTTAGAAATCTGTTGGGTTTTTACAATTCCTGAAATTGTATGTAAAATTATTTAATAAAATATCCGAAGACTGAATTTTTAAAAGTATTTCAATTTTAAGACTTATCTTTATGATTTTCATTTACATTTTACCATAACCTGCACACAGTGCATTGAATTTTACTTGTTAGCTGCTTCCACCAGTTAGAATTCTTGGGAATTCTTTGCCAAAAGTAACTGGCGGCATTTTAGGGCCTCCTTGCAACCGCTGGACATGCAGAGTTGTTGACTCAGGTGACCGAGGACACACAGCCTCGCGTTTTGTGGAAACTTTTCGATTGACTTAAATGTCAACGCTGGCAGGTCGTTGATCCGCTCTCTTGTTTCTTTTAAATAAATATCAAACAATTCTAATGTGCTGTGAAAATGACTAAGGAAAGGCAGAAGGAAGTCAGCGGAAATGGTGGAAAAAAATAAAAATTTTCATTACCTTCCGCGTATGTTGGGGCCAGATTCCTGGCCTGGCCTGGCCTGGTCTGGCCTGGCCTTTTGGAAATTTGCAAACCGCAATCAAAATTCCACGCCGCGGCTCTTAATTGGTCTTTCTTCAGGACGACCGGCAGAGTTTCCTTTTTCTTTTATTTCCATTTTGCTTGTCTTGGACGCCACCTCCTGGCCTGCGTCCTTTCCTTTCATTTCATTTGATTTTCTTTTCGTTTTTGTTTTTCGCCAGCGTCCCACACAAATGCAAATTTCAATTACGCGTATTGCGGGGCCAAATTGAAATGCCTTGGAAAATATTTTCCAGGCCCTCACTCATAAGAAATGCAGCGCGGGCTTCAACTCTGTTGGTTTCAGTTCCCTATTTCCACCCAGTAAATGTCGAATATGAAGGTATATTGTACTACTATATACCTCTAGAAAAAGATAATTTATAGTCTTGGTATTATGAATTGCTTTGTGACTTTCCGGAAATATTTTGTCGATATTTTAAAATATTATAGTCCTTTTGTTCTTTTCTGTAAGTTTTTATATATTTGACTTTGGTTGAATAACAAGGATATTCTTAATCAGTTTAATTCATTATTAAATGTGTTGTTAGAAGGATACAATATCTAAACCCAGAAAAGTATGCTATACATTTTACAAAGTAATAGACAGGTATTTTGTGGTCGAAACTCTGGACTATATAACTCTTTCATTCCTCTGCTACCCCGATCAACAATCGCGTGCATTTCATTTGCATTTGGAATGCGCGCAAGTTCGGTCTTACTTGAAATTTATTTGCTAATTTTGTAACATGTGTCCTGTTTGGGGTAAGTTGAAAACTTTTCACTCGAAATTTGAATGGCAAATTGAAGGCGGCGGGTGGATGGCAGGACGAATGGACAAGCGGAGGAGCGAAGGATACTGGGGCAAAATCCATTTGGCTTCTGCGGTTAATGAAATTTTCATTTGCTGGGCTGGCCAAAGTTTCGCATCTTCGCCTTTGTGTTTGCGGGGAACCAGAAAGAGAGGGAGAGAGATCGGGAAAGAGGGCTGCGGCTGGTTTGATGGCATCTAGGAAATTATTTCATTTAATTGCCATTGAAATATTTAATATTAATTAATGTTCCTTAATTGCTGCTGGCTTCCGTTGCTCCTACAACTCATTAAAAACACATCAGCTCTCGGCGTGGCCTCACACATCTTGGTCACGCTCTTGTGGTCGACGCTCATCATATTAGGAGTATTAATCTTAATAATTGCTGCATATTGCCCGAAAGAATGCGAGAAAGTTGGCGAAACAAAAGCCGCAAATCGGACTCGGACTTGTGTCCTCTCGGAATGTCCTTTCACAGTCCAAAACCGGCAGATGAGAGGCCAACTTTTGTGCGCCATTTTCTTGTCCTTTGTCAGTTATGACGCGAGACACTCACTTTGTGTCTTTAACTTTTGCCGAATTATTAATGAATTCTGAATCCCGAGTCTGAGGTCAGACAGGATTTTGTCCGCTTGTGCAAATAGAATTAAGCATCAAAGTAAAGTTGTGACTTTAATCGATTGTCCGTTCATATGGTTATGGCTTTTGTTTGGCAAACAATCGAGCATAGTTGGCAATATAAATTCCGTAAATAGTTGTGGCATCCCCCTCTCACATTTCAGGCATTTGCAATGACGTAAGCCCAAACGAAAACGGACATTTTTGGAGCGATCTGATCCTGTTTGAGTCCAGAACTGGAATGGGCTCTGGCATCTGCAACTGTAACTGATACTGTCAGAGCTTTTAGCCTGGTCATCCTGGCCAGGACATCGAATGCAAAAGGCATTGATGGACTGCATTTGATT